TATATATATATATATATATTCATTTTTCTTATTTTCTAGTCCGGTTCTTTATTAAGAAACTTTTTTTTTATTCATTTACTAATATATCCTTATTTAATTTGTCTAGTTATAATCAATTTACTACTAGTTATTGATGATTAAATAACGATAAACTAGGGATATTTTTGACAAAAAATACTTTTTCAATTACATTTTGTTTGAGTCCCATTTTGAGAGAAAAATACATTTTTAAAAAGTAATTTTTGAAGAATGTATGGTTAAAAATGAAAAAAAAAAATCGATTTACATGTAATATTATTTTATTGAAGAATGTGTAATTGAAAATAAGTTTAGAAATTTTTTTTTTTTTTGATAAAATGGTACTCAAGAAGAAATAAAATGAGAAATGATCCAGTCATTTCCTATTAATTAAGAATTATGCTCACACGTCAATGGATTATCTTATCAATTAACTGAATAATAATTAGAGAAGTTTCTTTAATTCATGGAAAATAAATTAAAATTACAAGAGAACTCCATCTCTCTACTATAGTGAACTCAATTTTCTATACATATTCTCCTACTGAAGATACAAATTTTTAATATTTATATTTATATTTATCCACTCATCTCATGTAAATTGAACAACATTGATCCCCCAACAAAACAAGATCACAATTTATCCCAAGAAAATAAAAAGAGAAGAGGAGAAGAGAGAGAGAGAGAGAGAGGAAATCCCATATATGAACCTGTACAAAGCAATCATGGAAATGGAGTCGAAGCAAGCCAGCAGCTTGACCAATATCATTGTCGAAAACACTCCGCAACTGTGTTCTTACAATGGATTCCAGCTGAGGACATGTAGAATCATAGAAATTCCATGAGAGTCCCGGCACTATTTGCTGAGCTTCTGTCAAATGTAAATCAGTACAAGAAAACACCACAAGAATAATCAAAGAGATAGAAGCAGCAGAAGATATTGAAGCCATGATTAACTGAAATGGTGTATATCTTCTTCTGGTTCATTGGACAGAAGGCCTTCTTATAGCCATAATAAAGTCACTATTTTTCATTTTATTTTCTTTTCTTCGAATGTTTGGTATTCTAAGAAAATAATGTTATTTAGCCCAGCATTAAACGATAGGTGAAATGAAATAAGTCAATCATCCGACGCCACCCGCCATTGTAACCCGACTATTACTCATCCAAAAAAATAGTGAAAGGACGCGTGTCTGCCACCACTTCAGTAAACCCTCTCTCTTTTGAATGAAGCTACTCAAACAGGGGAAATTGATAGGGTTTGGTCTGTCTGGCTGCTCTTTTTTTTTTTTAAAACTTTCAAATGAGAAAATAACGCGTATTCCCCAATTTTAAATTCTGTCACTGAACCTGTTCATGTAGCAGGGTGGTTCTCTTTTTTCCTTTCATTTTTCTCTATCATCTTCATTCAACCCTAGTGTTGGTGAAATAGGTTGAGAATTGACTAAAGATAACCTAAAGTATTATATAATACACTATCCCAAATTTGGGCTTGAACGACTCTGAACTATCTCATCTAAAAATTTGATCTGTAAAAGAATATATTCATTTAAATTTTGAGGAGAACATAAGTTTTAATTTTTTTTTTATAAATTTTCATAAATCGATGACAATGTTACTTGAACACGAATCTTTTGTCTAGTTAGAAGACTTTATTAACAATCTTAACTATAAGATTAGATTGTTAGAGATGATCACATAAATTTAATTAAATCTTATCTTCATCAATAATGTCTAAAGTATCCTAGTGAATTGTATAATCTACTTTTATAAAAGTAACCTAAACTTCTTAGAACTTAGAATTCGCTACACGAAATCCATTATTTAAAGTTTAATAGTTTCAAACACAACTCTTAAAATTTAGAAACGAGTTGAACAATCAAATATATGGTAATTTTATATTCTTGAAATTTGGATTCTTATTTAAAATTCTAACTATGTGATTCTTGGATGCTCCAA